GTGCTTGGGAATGTGCTCGTGTGAGGTCGTTTTGCAGGGACGAGCGTTCTGCCGTCAGCGTCGCAATTTCCTCGGCGCTCTCGCGGATTTGTCGCAGCAGATCGTTCAAGTGCTCCTGCGTGAGAGTCGTGACGTCGATATGTTCAGCCATTTCGAAGGGCGTCGGCTCGTCTTAGTCTAGGCGCAGTCGTGGCTGCACGCGTTTACGAGAGAACGCGAGGACAGCGGCTCCTAGGTGCTAAGGTACGTGAGTCCCTTCGAGTGAGAGATCAAAAGTTGATTTCCTGAGGTGCGGAGATGCGCGGTCCGAAAGAAAGGGGCTCTGATACCAAGTGTTACGGGTGCAATGAATCGAAGTAGCGAGAATTGCACTAAGGGGTCAAACGAGTACAAAATGTGAGCGAAGGCATGAGCGAACATTTATACGCGAAACATGCAAACGGTAACGCGGTGCGTGCGAGCTAGCTAGTGCTACGCTGGAGCGAGGCTTGGGCTAGTCCCGAAGCGTAGGCCGACACGGCCATGCCAGCAGTGCGAGGTTTGGTGAAAACAGTGTGCGCGAAGTCGGCGAAGCCCCGTTAGCAGTAACGGGCGCATAACGGCTGTTGCTGTTACGGGGCTCCGTAAGGAATGCCGAGAAAATTCCTTACACTTGTTCTTGTTTCTGTCTCACTTGTACTGATATGTTGCGTTCTTCTTTTCAGGCCTTGTACTCGAAAGCGTCTTGAAAGCGTCTCTACGACGCAGCAAAGATGGCGACCTTTCGGCTTTCGGCTTCGCCGTCATGTCCTGGCCGAGATGGGCCGAGAAGGGCCGAGGTATGAAGAAATCCTTCTCGTGATTAACGTATATTTGGCAACGCATTTTCCTAGTACTAACGTATCATATCTCCAATTTCCCTGCAGACCTTGGCGACGACTGCTCTACCGTCGTCATCTGCTCTACCGTCGTCGTTGATTGCTCTACCGTCGTCATTGACTGCTCTACCGTTGTCATTGGCTTCTAGCGTCAAGCAGTCACACTCGCACGGCTCCACCGTCAACGGCAACACGAGCCGACGGCGATCAGCTACGCGGCGAGTCGCTAGCGGACGACACGGCGAGCGTACGGCGAGCATACGGCGACGGACGGCGACGGACGGAGTTTCTACCAGCAGCGCCTTGATCGGGCTGAGGTAACGAATTCTATCTTGATCGTTGATTCCGTCTTGGCGGCTTCGTTTCGTGTATAGCCTTTTTCCGTCTCCTTGACAGTTTCCTGTCCTTGACGGTTTTTAAAATATTTCCACGCTTTCTTGATGTATCATTCATGTTGCATTCTTTCCCCCAGACGTACGGCGACGCATGGCGACTCAAGGCGACGCATGAGGTCCCACCGGCGCACGGCACATCGGAGGCGGCGCTTCAACCATCGCGGATTCGCTACCAGCAGCGGCTCCCTCAGGATGAGGTAAGGCTAAATGATCCTGTTTTATCTATCTTGACGGCTTCCTTTCGTATCGTTCCGTCTCCTAGACGAATTCCGAATCTTGACGGTACCCGTTCTTGACGAATTCCGAATCTTGACGGTTCTTGTTTATCTTCCTCTAGACGCATGGCGACGCAAGGCAACGCACGGCAACGCACGGCGCACGGCAACGCGCGGACGCCGCCTGGCGCAGGGCACATCGGAGGAGCTTGGCGGCGCTTCAGCCATTCAAGGCTTGGCGGCTGCTACCAGCAGCGCCTCTCACGGACTGAGGTAAGTCTGGCTATTTCATCCTCAGCCCCTCGCTTCGTTTCATGTCTTTTCTTCGTTTCGTCACTTTACTTCCTCATTGATGGATTCGTGTTCCTTCTTTACTGCAGAACTCGACGTGTCTTACCGTCCGCCATCCTCATGGATGGCGAAGCGCGGTGACGGATGGTGACGTACGCTTCAAGCTCGTTGCGGCTGATGGCGTGTCTCTCGGGCAGACGGCGCGTTTCGCGGCGACGGCGGTGAGAGGGTGGCGCGTCTACCTAGGCGCTTGGCGATTCGCTCTCAGCCGGCGATTCGCTACCAGCTGCGCCTCGCTCCAATTGAGGTACCTCATTCGACCTTACATGTCCTGCCGTTTACCATCTTATTCGACCTTTCATGTCCTGCCGTTTACCAACCATGCCGCGTTTCATGTCCTGCCGTTTACCAACTCATGCCGCATTTCATGTACTGCCGTTTACGAACTCATGCCGCGTTTCATGTGCCGCCGGTTTCATGTCCTGCTGTTTACCATTTCATTCTACCTTTCATGTCCTGCCGTTTACCATCTCATTCGACCTTTCATGTCCTGCCGTTTATCAACTCATGCCGTGTTTCAACTCCTGCTGTTTCTTTCCGTCTTTCTTCCTGCAGAGCGCACGAAGCACAACTGACGGCGGAGCACGATATGGCGAGGTCTTTCGGGCGCACTGCACGGCACGGCACGGCACGGCACTGCACGGCACGGCACGGCACGGCACGGCACGGCACGGCACTGCACGGAACGGCACGGCACAGCACGGCACGGCACGGCAGGAGCGGCGGGAGCGGCGGCGGCGGCGACGGCGACGGCGGCGGTCAACGGCGGATGGTGCATGGCGCTTCTCGGGGGGGGCGGATGGCGCGTCTTGCGGGCGGACTGCGCGTCGCACGGGCGGGCAGAGCCGGTCACGGGCGGATGGCGCGTCTACCGAGGCGCTTGGCGGCGCTTCTCTCAGCCGTGCTCGTTTGCTTCTCGTTTTTTCTTCGTTTGTTTCGTATTTTTCTCGCATTTCCGCTCTCTGGTTTTGTTCTTCTCTTTCCGTGGTACCTTGATGTGTGGGATCGCAATGTGTGAGCAGATTCCAAGCCTGCGGGGTTGTGCGAGCGGGGTTGGGGCAGGGGCGCGGCGGAGAGGGAGGGTAGCCCCAGCCCGACTTCTCCGCCCCCCCTCCCGCTCCACTGCCCCTTCCGGCACGGCACCGACTTCCGGCACAGCACTGCACTGCACGGCACGGCATGGCACGGCAGGAGCGGCGGGAGAGGCGGCGGCGGCGACGGCGGCGGTCAACGGTGCTGCTGTTGGCGGCGACGGCGGTCAACGGTGTTGCTGCTGGCAGCGACAGCGGTCAACGGCGCTTGGAACGTGGTGGAGCTTGACTCCCCCCCCCTTCCCTCTTCTCCCCATCCCCCACCCCATTTGCAGACTTGGCGGGAGGAATCTGCCTTCCCTGCACAGAACAGTGAGATGGTTTGGGTGGTGGGTTAGACCGCGGCCGCGGGGGGTGGGTCAGGGATGTCAGGGGTTCATGTATATGTTCTGTGCGCCTCCTGCACTTCACATCTAGACAACCTGACAACCTGACAACCTGGCAACCTGACAACCTGACATCTGAGGAGCTGAACTGAGGTGTTTCCCGCCCAGTAATAATTTTAACCTTCCCATCCTTTCTGAAGTTTTCAACCGTGCCTCCCCTCTCCCAAACAGATCCCGCACGAATGACCGCCACCTCAACACGGTGTGCGGGTGTAACGCTAGAGGCATTTGCCTCTAGCGGCCAAGAGGGGTCAAGAAGACTCAAGATCAAGGAAAAATCAAGATCAAGGAAGAATCAAGACCCAGCAGCTGTTTAGTCATAGGAACTTCTGCATGCTTATAGCAAAGCTATTGGATGTAGTTTTATATTTTTAGGATATTTAATGGTTCTTTAGGACCCCCCTCAGTTCAATTTTAACATTGCATACAGAGCAACAAAACTTCCAAAGCACAAACAGCATAATACACAATCACAAGTCCACAACACATACAGCAGCAGGACAATCACAATTATCACAATTCCACAACTCATACAGCAGCAGGGCAATCACAATTCCAGAGCACCCATCTGGATTCCCTGCACTGCCCTTCCAACGTCAGGTGAACGTCTAAAAGTATAGTTCAAGCACTGTACATACACGGAATGGTAATTGAGCCTACGAAGTCCTTCCTTGACATAGACATTGTTAGTGGAATTTTCTAAATTCTACGGTAACGTCAAGTAAGCACACTACCTGCAATTCCGTGCAACAAAGCGCACGCTGATTGCAGTGATCTGAACATTTGCAGCTGCCAGTCGCACGGTCATGTGTTGTAGACCCTGGAATGAAAGAAAACACAACATAGATGTATTTAACTGACCAGGCTAAGGGCGACCTTTTGCATAACGACGATGGCATAGTGAGGGAAAAGCAAGCCTTTGTTTTATAAGAATGGATTAGGAGGGCGTACCTTGGGATAGGCTGATATGGTGCCCTTCACTTGGATCCATTTGCTGTGAGGTGGGTTCACTTTTCCAGAGTCCCTGGTACAGAAAATAAGAAAGCAGACAAGGGAAATGGAGGATGAAAAAACAGAATGATGGATATGCAAAAGAAAATGATGTCAGATGGGAATCGTACGTCTCATGGACATGGAAGGCCAGAGGGACAGTTACATGGGAACACATGAGACGAGAACCCATGTGAAGCAAGAGGAACCATCCCATGGGAACTCATGGCATGTCAGATGGGAATTGTACGGCTCATGGACATGGAAGGCCAGAGGGACAGTCACATGGGAACACATGAGATGAGACCAGATGTGAAGCATCACATGAAACTTGATGTGAAGCTAGAGGGGCCATTACCTGGGATGCATGAGAACTGATGTGAAGCATGGATGGAGGAGGGGTGGGAGGGGAGAGGAAAGGAGGGGTGTGGGAGTGATGCAGGGCAGAGAAAGAAGAGTGGGGGGAATGGGATAGTGGGAAGGGCAGGGCAAAGTGTTGGCAACGGGGGTTGCGTTGAACGGGTGGGGAGAGCGGGCTAGAGCAGGGGAGGAGGGAGGTGGATGAGAGAGAGTAGGAAGCTTTACCAGACGGAGAGAACTTGCTTGGAAGCATCCTTGAGCACTAACTGAATTCTGAACTGGCTGCGGCTGCTGTTTTTCTGGCTGCTATTTCTGTTTATAATTCCTGCTCCTTCTCCCTCTGCATCTCCTCTTCCTACTCCTTCCCCTCTTCCTCCTCCTCTTCCTCTTCCTCCTCTTCCTCCTCTTCCTCCTCCTCTTCCTCCTCCTCTTCCTCCTCTTGCTCCTCCTCCTCCAATTCCTGCTCCCCCTGGTGCTGCTGTTCTTGCTGCTGATGTGTTTGCACCCACCCCTCCCGCTGCCTCTCTGCTGCCATCACCTGAATGTGTCCCACCTGAAGTGCCACCTGAATTTCCACCTGACCTGCTGCTGCCAGAACTGTTACCTGAACTGTTACATGCAATGGCATCTGTACTGTTACCAGCAACATGGTTCGAACCCCTGATCTTACCACGCCCATCACTACCCCCAGCACGCTGTAACACCACATTGTCCCCCTTAAGAGCATCCCCGTTATTACTCGTATCACCCCCTGCCATGTGTTGATTGCCCGTGGTTTCTCTCCCCTCACCTGTCTCCAGAGCAGAGCACCATGCTGAGACCTCAATCAGCGGGCAGCTATCCAAAAACGGGCAGCCAAAACTCTTCACCCCAATAGACTGCTGGAGGGTGCTGTAACTCTCGCCATAGGAACACAGCACCATGCTGCTGCTTCCCTCAGTACAATCAACCCCACCAATCCTCACCCCTCCTCCGGGGTAATTCACCCTGTGCTTCTCCACCTCTAGACCCCTCGTCCCGGGTAACCACGGCAAAGTATCCCTCTTCCCAAACACCACCTGCCGGACCAATCTATGCGACCCCCCTCGATGGAACACTAATCCTCCCCCTTCTAGCGCCCAATACGACCTTGCCGCTGGTTCCTCCTCCGTCTCCCCCAACGTGAACAGCCGCTCCTTATAGATTCGATGCGTGGGTTCGAAGGGCGGGTACGGGTCGTCGTCTAGCGCGGATTTAATTCGATCCGTATCTATATGGTCGATTCCCTCGAAGTGTGGGCAGCCGACGAGATTCGCGCCGAAGATTCGCTCGTAGAGGCCGCGCCAGCCGCCCAGAACGAGGTGCGTGTCGTCTTCTGTCAACCCGTTGCCCTGGCAGAACATCTGAACCAGCGAGAGAAGGAGGGAGGAGAAGGACGGGAGATAAGAACGATCAAGGGAAGTGGGTGGACCACCAGTGTAAAGGCCGCGTTCCCGATTGAGCACGCAATATTAGTGCGACATCAGTGCGACATGGCGCGACACAAGGGATAGTTAGCGGCCTAATCGCACGCACCTGCCAGAGAAACGGATCGCTTGCCACTCGCCGCCATTGCCGGCAGGTTAACGCGCACGACGCAGCCACGTCAGCAGGCGGAAGCTTCTGGAAGATGAGCGACAAGACGGTCTCTGGTAGCCGTCGGATCGCGCTTCGAGGCGCGAAGACGCGAACGCGTTTGGGCGTCCGTCCGGAGGCGGGGGACCACGAGGGTGCGGGCCGATTCTGATCGTCGAATCGATAGTCCGTACGGTTGAGATTGTTGGTAACGAATTGGCCGTGCACAGACTGCGCTTTTTCGATCGAGGCTTGCGAGTCCCTGTGTGCAGAAACGTCCCTATCTGTAACGAGGATTTTTGTGGCTTGTGTGTCGGCGGAGGTGAGTGAGGCGGACGTTGGAGGAGAAGGCGTCTCGCCGATTGCGAACTCCGCCATTTTCATATGAGGCTTTCAAATGACGCAAGCTTTCAAAAGAAGCGTTGAAACGGGCTTAATTGATGCGATCTTTCAAATGGGCTCAAATGACGCTCGCTTCGAAATGAAGCTCACTCACTAATGAAACTCCCTGCGTATGGGAGACTCGAAACACTTAGGAGATGCATCTAGTGCTGCAAAAATTGGGGGTAGAACGGCGACGAGGCAAGCCGACGACAACTGATAGAGGAGGAAGAGCTTCGAAACGTCTTGGGAATGGCGAAAGGCGAAGGCTGCCGGGTTCGCGAGTCGGGACGGAGAAGCGTGGAACAAAGCTATCAGTTGATCTGCGAGTCGCAGACGCGAGACACGTTCGACGACCGAGCTTGAAACGAAACAGTGAGCTCAAGCTGAGCTCAAGGCGAGCTCCAGCGGTGTAGTGGAGGGAAGCAAACGACGAACCCTTAGAACTGCCTCGACAATACGAGCTAGGAACGAGCTGGTGATCTCAGGACGAACCCCTGCAGTGAAGTGGAGGGAAGGACACGAGAAGCGCTTAGAACTGCTTCAACAATGCAGCCTCGAAGGTGAGAGAAATGGCTGTCGTGCAGTTGCTACTACGGAAAGACAATGCGGCCTTGGAGCTGTGAGTATCGGCGGTTTATGGATTACCCGTTCGACTGACGGGCTTTATACCAGGCTGGCGTACGGCTGAGGGGTCCAAGCTATGGAAGGGTCGCTGTGGAAGGTAGTTTGCACGGGAAGGGGGAGCATTGCGGCGTGGCGGCATGGGGATCATCGAGTGCGCCGAGAATGAAAAATGCGAGTGCTTTATCCCACCCCGCTGTTTACCACCTCTGGCGTTTGCTTGTGCTGTGAGTTTTCGCCTGCCTCTTCTCCTCGTGATTGTCTGGTCGCCTTGATTGCTGGTCGCGCAGAGCAGAGAAGGGGAGGGGAGAGCGGAGGAGCGGAGAGGAGGAGGAGAGGAGAGGAGAGTTCTCGGGTCGCGAAATTGGCCTCATGAGATTGCGCAAATTCAAATTCAACAATCTGGATTTCAACTTTTCGAGTTCCACCTGAAGAATGAGAGCAGCTAGATGGGTGTTGTGGGGTGGCTAGCGGTGAAGAAAACAAAGTTTCAAAACGCGACAAATCGAACTCGACATTTCAAAATCCAATTTCTTCTCGTTGGGGGTAGGCTGGGTGGGTGAGCGAGTGGATGTGCTGGAGCCGCGCGTGGTTTGAATGAACGGATCGAAGCGCGTGCTGGTTGGCCAAGACCCGAGATTCAAAAATTCTATTTGAACAGAAAGAAGGCAGCCAGCCGCAAGCACAATTCACAAGATAAAAATATGCACGAGAATTATTTGCTTACTACATAAATAAATTCTACAATATACGTCCAGACCAGCTGAAAGCACCGTGGCTCACTTCTAGCCACAGCACTCCTATTACCCCAGAGAGTCCTTGTGGACACCAAGGGCACATAACTGCACTGCATCTCTTCCATCTCAATGCAATCTCAAAGCCACCCTCATCTGTTCATCCATATACTTTCTCGCCTCTGCCAGCCTCTGCTTCAACTCCTCATCCCTCCGCTCCTTCCATTGCTCCGGCTGCCGAGCCATTATAAGCCGATGCAGCTCTCGCAAGGACACCATTCCCCCGAAAACATCGGCCTGGCGACACACTGGGCATGTGATGTGGGGTGACGCCATGCGAATGTCTTCAAAGGCGGCGACTTTCGCCACTGACGAGGCGCACGAACGGCAGTAGATGTGCCCGCAGGCCAGTGCAATTGGATCGAAGAACACATCCTGGGAAAGGGTAGGTGGAAACAAGGCGGGGGAAGGGGAAACAGCAACAAGATCAGCAGGTGCATTCCATCAGCAGGTGCATTCCATCAGCAGATGCATTCCATCAGCAGGTGCATTCCATCAGCAGGTGCATTCCATCAGCAGGTGCATTCCATCAGCAGGTGCATTCCATCAGCAGGTGCATTTCATTAGCAGCAGATTTCATCAGCGAAGAGTTAATACCAGTAAAGGAGAGGTCAAGGTGACGGGAGAGGGTAATTCAAGAAATGAAGGTTCATAATGAGGGTGGGCAAGTGAGGACGACTGGTAGACGAAGAGCAGTGAGGCGGCTCTTTGAAATGAGATATAACAGGTAGTACTGACGACACATGCCAGGGGGAGGAGCGTGGAAAGCGGTTTCCATACCTACAAGAGTCGGATTACTAACCCAGCAGTTCACGAAACTTTGAGATTGAGAATGAACTCGTGCAAGGCTGAGGGGTAACTCAATAAATAAAGGTGGGTTAAAAGCGGCAAAACGGGTCCACGTTTCAATGCGTGACTTTATGCTGCACGAGAATGAGGATACCGAAGCAGGGAAGCAGCACTCACAAGGCAGACGGGGCACTTGAACTCCACGTGGGCGTGGAACTCGGGCCTCAGCTGTAGCTCCAGCACCTGCTCCGACCCCCCATGCTGCTGCTCATGCTGCTGGTGTGCCTGCTCTGACTGCTCTGCCTGCTCTGACTGCTGCTGGTTCTCCTCCTCCTCCTCCCCCTCCTGCTGCGGCTCCTGCCCTGGCAAATGCTCTGGAGTTCCACCTGAGGTGACAGCCATTGGGTTCTCACTCCCAACACTCTGACCCCCAAGCAGACTCTCACTGCTGCTGAAACAGCTCCACATGGTATCAGCAGCAGCACCACCACCACCATCGCTGCACTCGTTTACCAAGCCCCTGTCGCCCAGACCCACCCCCGCGCTCAGCGCCCCTTCCGAGCTGCTTTGACCTTGACTGCCACTGCCGATGCTGTTTCCGCTTCCAAATACCCCCATTCCACCGCTGCCGCCCCCACCACCAGCAACAGCACCACTGCCACCGCTTTCAGCCATAAGCTGTGGTTCGGTCACTTGGTCCCTTGCCAATGAACCAGCAGAACCCTCAAAAAGGTCCAAGCTACACCCACATTCCGTTAGAGGCACTACCTCCACCTGCTCCTCCTCGTCACCGTCCTCCTCATCGCTCCACACACGCTCCTCCACCTCCCTCACCGCAGCAGGACTCCCACTCCCCCCACCTGAGAAACCACCTGGAGAATCGCCTGAACGGCCATCAGCAAGCCCCTTCCCCGGGCTCCACGGCAGCCTACCTGAAAAAACACCTGCCGCGCCCCCGCCGCCGCCCGTCCAGGTGCTCTGCATGGGCGCGAGAATGTGAAGCCAGCGCAGGTGCTGGTAGCGCCACTTGCGGTCGCAGTGTTCCTTGCTGCGCTGGGGGTCAAACCCCGGGCAGCGGGGGTCGTGGCAGTAGCGGTGCATGTGATGGTGGTTGCACCCGAACAGCTGCTGGCGCTGCCGCTGCTCGCGCCTCTCCCCCCTGGTGAGCGGTGCTGGCGAGCAGCCGGAACCTGCTTCACCATGACCGCAGCCCTGATGCCGCTGCTGTTGCTGCTGCTGCTGCTGCTGCTGCTGCTGCTGCTGCTGCTGCTGCTGCTGCTGCTGCTGCTGCTGCTGCTGCTGCTGCTGCTGCTGCTGCTGCTGCTGCTGCTGCTGCTGCTGCTGCTGCTGCTGCTGCTGCTGCTGCTGCTGCTGCTGCTGCTGCTTCAGCTGCAGCTTCAGCTGCTTCTGCTCGAGCGCATAGCTCAGGTTCGACAGCAACGCGGTCAGCTCCAGCATGAGAGGCGACCGTAAAATGCGCTGCTGCAGCAGCCGAATTCCTTCCAGTTGCTCCGCGTTTCCGCCGTTTCCGCCGGCTCCGTGGCTCTCAGCCATGTCCGACACATCCCCGTTACTGACCCCCGTTTTCACAGAACTACTGTGCACCTTCACGTACTTCTTAACGATTTTCCTTGTAGCGAGGTAGCTGAGGGCGAGGTGCTCCAGCAGGCTCGATGCTGCACAGTACATGACCTCGGGCCTGAAAGAAAGGGGGAAGAGGGGGGAGAAGTGAACCGGGGGGGGAGAGGAGAATGGAAAGCGGGAGCGGAAGGGGGATAGAGAGTTGACTTTTGAGTCAACCCGACGCTGCACGGTACATGACCTCGGACCTGACAACTGGCCTGCAGCGCGGGGATATGAGAAAGCGATAGAGAAGGGGAGAGGGAGGGGAGGTGAGGGAGGGGACGGGCGGGGAGGGGAGGGGAGGTGAGGGCGAGGGTGAGGGCTAAACAAAAGTGAACTGAGAGAACAATCCAAACAAAAACAGTCTGCTTACTTGCTGTAATCGGAGAAGCGCGAAAGTATCGCCGACAGCCCGTGCGCGTTATGGCAGCTGATGACGCGAGCCGCCTCGCGAGTGAAGCTTCGCTCGATGCTTCGCAGCTCTTCCTCCAGAAGCTTGAAGAACTCGTCGTCGCACTGAGGACAACCGGCCGCCGGCTTGACAGCGTCAAAGTTGACGGAGTTAATAACGTCGACGGGGTTGACGGAGTTGAGGGCGTTTTTGGAAGCGTCCTCTGGCGGGCTGGGCGCGCATGCTGGAATGGCGTCGCTGTGAGCTCGCGAGGAGAGGCATCGCTTAAGAATCTTCTTCAAAGCTCGGTAGTCAACCTGAGCAAACCTGGATGGGATCTCTGCATTTTCGCATGAGGGACAGAAGCGAACAAAAGGGAAGAAAACGATATGATTTTTGAGTCGACTCAAAAGAAAGCTCGGTAGTCAACCTGAGCAAGCCTGGACGGGATTTCTGCATTCATTGAGTTACTGCACGGAGGACAGAAGCGAACGAGCGAAGCGAACAAAATGAAGTATTTCAACGCGGCGGGATGATTCGAGGGTGATAACTCGTGAGGTTATAGCAATCTGAAAATCCCTTTACCTGATGACTCGTGCAAACGAGTTTGGTAACTCTGGAAAGTCTTGCCGAATTTCATGCTGGCGACAGATGGCTGTTGCTTAAGCCTTTAGGAACGCTTTAAGACGTCTTAAAACCACGAAGACAGCAAGCTACGTCGTGCCTCCCCTCCGCAAAGTCTGGTCTCGCAAAGCTTCGTAGTAACTGTTCAGATCAATCAAAACGTCGATGATTGCAAGTTACACTCTATATCTCCACTGCTCTTCCGCTTACAGGCCGGTCAACGCCTAATGGACAACACGAATGTAGGCAAAGGATCACAGATGTGGTGAACTGTAATCGGGACCTAGACTGGCAGGAGTCTGAACTGAAAGAATAGAGTGTCTAATGGAGAAGTAGAAAGTGGAAGTGGAAACAGGATATCAGAGGAAAGTGAAAGTGAAATCTGTCAACAGAGGAACCTTGAATTCTGGCTAGGAGGGAGGGAGACACCCACCAGCTTCAGCTCTTTCTCTGGCATATGGGCAGTCTGCCAAGAGCCAATGAACAGTCTCTTGTACCACAAACGTCTGCCCAATCACGGGCCACGTTTCTTGGTTTGGGCATTCTCGTCTGGACAATTAGCTGCCGTGATTTGCGGTGTAAGGGACCAGGTTCCGACGCTTGACGTGGCTTTGGTCTTTGTTTTGCTTGGCTGGCTAGGTTCGGGGGTTGTGGCGCCCCTGCGTGGTCTGGTTAGGGATTGTCAGGTGTGCTTCGGCTTGTTAGGCGCAATGATGATGTGACGACGTGGCGAGGAACGTGCTTCCGTTTCATGTTGCTCTGTTGGAAAACGTGCAAGCAAAGCAAGGTTACGCTGACTCGGCTCAGCAGCTTATCACTTTAGGTGCGTCGAATATTCATTCACACGGAAAAACACCTCAGCGTGTCGAATCAGCGTCACTTTTGATGATCCGGGAATGCCACGTCAACGTAGTCTGGACGAATAACAGGCTCGCTGAATATCCAGTGAATTTGGTTCGACTACCAGTAGGTTACGGTACAGCTGCTCATCACCTCACCTAGCTGTTGCGTTGCGGCTGACTGGCAGAACCGCAACCGTCTACCGTGGGAAAGTCAGCAGCGCGGATTCGTTGTGCGTCGCTTCAGCTACTGCTCTCCAACCCGGTACTCGCCAAGTAGCGATACCTGTCGCAAACAGCCCATTGGCTGTTATGTGTGCCACCGCGAAAACGGAAACGTAAACGAATGCCTGACGACAATTATGTAGCAACAGTAACCAGTCAACGAAAGAAGGTCCAAATTTGTGGCACGATATTAGACTGGAAAAAGCAAATCAGGAATCCACTGGTTTCTGAATCCCGTCAATACATGACAGCTTGATGAATGCAACCTCCCATGGCTTCTTGCCCACATTCCCTTGTGAATTCTATAAACTCTCGTTTTGTTTGGGCTATTTCGATGCCTTACCGTCCGTGTGAATGCTCGGTAACTCTGCGCGTGTTCTCGCCTCTGCGCCACTTGATGCGGTGTCCCTAACGTTAAGACGTTCATATCGCGCCATCTTCGAACCGCCACGTGAAGGAAATCTCGCTCAAGTCCAAAGGAAGCTCGTCGCCATGAAATTCGGGAAAGAATTTGCGAGCTATCAGAATCGCCTGCAAGAATCGACAGGTACTAAGTAACATCACGTGGCGATGATTTGTTACTAGCAAGCTTGATAGCTTCGATGGTACTGGAACTTTTGAGGAAACTCAGTCAGGCGGCGACACGTCCGTCCGACGGAATCCGTCGTTCTTGACGACTATAGGCAGCAGCGTCCTCTCTAGCAGCTCTTTACGCTGTCCGACAACGCCTATTATTCCTTGAACCTCGCCCTCCCTCTCGTCCCCCTCCTCGCCCTCGGCCCACCCTTTCCCGCAGACCTTACCGCGCGCTTTCCGCAGGTGAACTACCGCGCGCTAAAGAAGATTCTCCGCCGCTGCATCTCCTCCCGCGCGCTGCGCGCCGAGCTGCACGCGCAGGCGGAACCGCACGCGGCGGAGGCGGAGCTGTACGCGGACGGGGGCGCGGAAGCGGATGCAGGGAGGGCAGCGGCGGAGGCGGGGAGGGAAGAGGCGAAGGCGGAGTTCAAGCTTTCCGTGGCGAACTGCGACGCAGTAACGACATGCGCCCGCGGGGAGCTTTCCGCGCTTTCTGCGCCAGCAGCGAACATGGTCGCGGAGGGGGTGGCGGAAAACGGGCCACCAGCAGCGGCGGATGTCGCTGGTGGCTGCGCGCAGTGCGACGCGGAGTTTTTTGGGTTGCTAGAAGCTGAGTTAATCAGCATCGAGCGGAGCTTTAATTCCGCTGCCACGCGGCTGCTGAGCTGTCACAACGCGAGAGGGCTCCAGCTCATGTGTCACGTGCTCTCGCCACGTCAGCTCTTCTCTACGGGCGGACACGGTGGCTGGAATCCGCGCTGGCATTCGCACAAGCCAGCGGCCCTCCACCACGCAGCGAGCAGCCTTCTGGAACACCTCGCTATAAGCTTCCTCGCTACGCATAAGATCATCAAGAAATACATCAAGGTGCACCGCAGAACGAGCCTCAGCCCGAGCTTCTGCCCGTGCCTCAGCGTATGCGATGGGCTCGGTACCCCGGAATCATGGGAGAAGGTGAATCATGTGAGGCGCCTCCAGGGGCGAACCGTACGGTCGCCATTGCTCATCGAAGTGACTGCGATGGTGGCGAATCTAGAGCTTGTGATGGAGGGAGAGAGGAGAGGGATGCACGGAGGAGGTCGTGGAGAGGAGAGGGAAGGATTGGGAGGAGGAAAGGAAGGAGGAGGCAGGAATGGACGGAAGAGGGGAATGGAGAGCTTGAAGGCGTGTGCAGCAGAGGGGATGGGGCCACGAGGGGAGAGAGGCGCCGAGAAGAGTGGAAGCAAGAAAAGTGGAACTGAGAAGAGTGGAGCGCAGGGGAGTGGCGTTGCAGCGTCAGTGTGTCCGCTCCTCGGCTCGGAGCTGCTGCTGAAGGCGGAGTTCAGAGCAAAGGTGGACGTCACCTGCCCCGTCTGCCTGGTGAGCCCCATGTATTGCCTCGTGCACTGGCCCACGCATTGCCCCATGCGCTGCTTCATGCACTGCCCCATGTTTTGAGCCCCATGTGTTGCTGTGCGTGCCTTGCCGGGCAAAGGTGGACATCACCTGCCCCGTCTGCCTGGTGAGCCCCATGGGTTTCCTGATGTGGTGAGCCCTCGGTGGTCTTAGTCTCGCCTGTGCTGCCACGCATGCATCCCTCTCCCACCCGCCTCCTACCCTCTCCCACCCGCCTCCTACCTTCTCCCCCCCGCCACTCTCACCCGTCTCCACCACACCAGGAGGTCCTTTATGAGGCAGGAGGCGAGACCCACATGTGTCGCTTGCCTGCACACGCCTCTTTTGCCGCGCCTGTGCTGCCACGCATGCATCCCCACCCGCCTCCCGCCCTTTCCCTCGCGCCACTCTCACCCATCCATACACTCCCACCCCTCCAGAAAGTCCCCTTAGACCCCATCTCCCTAGCCTGCACGCACATCTTCTGTCGCGGCTGTGCTTGCTCCGTCGCCCACGTGCCCGTCTCTCCTACCCTGTGCCTTCATCCCTCCCTCCCTCTCTCTCCCCCTGTCCTCCTTACCTGTCATACCAGGAGGTGCCCTTTGACCCGGTGTCTCTCGCCTGCACGCACATCTTCTGTCGTGGCTGCGCTTGCTCCGTGGCGCACGTGCCGGTGTTTTTCGGCCTCGACTCCGCATCGCCCCACATCACGTGCCCTCTGTGCCGCCAGCAGGGGGTGTTTCGGCATCCCCGGTCTCTCAGGGAACTGCACAGGCTCATCATGGCAAGGTAGGGTTACCACCCACCCCCTAAGGTTACCACCAAGGTAGGGTGTTCTTTGGGCTCGACTCCGCATCGCCCCACATCACGTACCCGCTGTGCCGCCAGCAGGGGGTGTTTCAGCAGCCCCGGTCTCTAAGGGAGCTCCACCGACTCATCATGGCACGGTAGGTAGGGTTACTACCAAGGTGCGGTCTTCTTTGGGCTGGACTCTGCATCGCCCCACATCACGTGCCCACTGTGCTGCCAGCAGGGAGTCTTTCGGCAGCCCCGGTCTCTCAGGGAGCTCCACAGGCTCATCATGCCACGGTAGGGTTACCACTGCATCCAGACAGGGTTACCACCAAGGTAGCATTACTAGCAGCAAGGTACGGTCTTCTTTGGGTTGGACTCCGCATCGCCCCACATCACGTACCCGCTGTGCCGCCAGCAGGGGGTGATCCGACAACCCCGGTCTCTGAGGGAACTGCATAGACTTATCATGGGGTTACCACCGGAGTAGGGTGTGTATGGGCTGTGCTTGCTCTGTGGCGCACGTGCCGGTGTTATTCGGTCTCGACTCTGCATCGCCCCACACCACGTGCCCGCTGTGCCGCCAGCAGGGGGTGTTTCGGCAGCCCCGGTCTCTCAGGGAGCTCCACAGGCTCATCATGGCACGGTAGGGTTACTGCATGAAGGTAGGGTTACCATATCGAGGTATGGTTGTCAAAGGTGCCCATGGCTCCGCATCGCCCCACATCACGTGCCCGCTGTCCGCCAGTAAGGGGTGTTCAAACAGCCCTGGTATCTCTGAGGGAACAGCACCAACTTACCATGGCATGGTAGGGTTACCAAATTAAGGTAGGGTTACCGAATCGGTGCGGGGTTGCTAACTCAAGATAGGGGTACCATTTGACGGTAAGTTCACCACATGAAGGCAGTGGACCAGAGCAGCAGCCAGAGACTCGGAGCAAGAGAGACGACGAGGGGTGAGGCTCTTTGCTCCTTTCTCTGCTCTCGAGCCTCCCTCCCTGCCAGCCACGGCTTCCCTTGGACCCGGGACCTCTGTTGTATCCTGCACTGCATGCAGTCAGGGGAGGGACCAGAGCAGCAGCCAGAGCAAGAGAGATCACAAGGGGTGTGGTGCGGCTCTTTGCTTCTTTCTCTGCTCTCGAAGCTCCCTGCCAGCCACGGCTTCCCTTGGACCCGGGACCTCTGTTGTATCCTGCACGGCAGGCAGTCAGGGGATGGACCAGAGCAGCCACAGGAGTGGTAGGGAAGCATGATTCTGGCTGTTTGTTCTCTTCTTTCTGAGTTCCCTGTTGGCACTGCTTCCCTTGGCCCTGAGGCTGATGCTGTATCCTGCACTGCAGGTGTGGGACAGGAGCAGCGACAGGAGTGGTAGGGCAGGACAAGACTGGTTGTTTGCTTCTTGGTCTCTAAGCTCCCAGCCAGCACTGCGTCTCCATGTTGCTGTACCGCGCCCTGCAGGCAACCAGAGGAATGGAAGGCGAGAAGAGATGAGGAGCAGAAGAGGAGGCTCGAGGAGGAGAGGTGGTACTGGGATGGTCAAATGCGCATAGCTATGCACATGAGGTGACGCTCCCTACTGTATAAAGAAGAGCTCATAACTGGATGTCACATGTCTGTGTTGGTTATTTTGTACATTTATGTATATAATGATGTATATAAGCGTGTCTTTGCCAGTTGTGTGAGACCTACCGCAGATGTGCTGCGCTAGTGTTTACTAACTATAGGTGTAATAGATGATGTAAATGACAAAAGTGGAATAACACGAACTGTTGTACCCGCTGAGAGATTGTTGGAAGCCCTTGAACAGCACAGCGGAGGCTGCCAAATGAGGAATTTGTGACACGTGAAGTTTTGCCGAAGTGGCAGAGTTCACCTATCGCTCGCCAGTATGCCACGTCTAGATATCCGGGATGATCACAACCCGGATTGATCCATCCCAGTTTCCTGGCCGAGATCCCTCATGCACTTTTCTTGAAGCACCCTGTGGTTTGGGGCTGTAGAAATAACAAAAAAATTGGTCGTTCGTGCTTGCTGGGTTTGCCTATGCTTATTCGTGGTTTATTCACTCTCGCAGGTGTTTGGCTGGAACTGGAATGTTTTTGCAAGCTATGTTTGAGCAAACAGAAGGTTCAGCTCTCTAGACTTCGACGGTGGGAACTAGATTCCTGCCAGCTTGGCAAGCTCGCTCTGGTGCAAGGGAAAAGCAACCATTGCTACAGTGCCCAACAATGAGATTCCTCCTTGGTTTGGTGCCATTTTCGGGCAGCTGCTGCTCCAACTCTCAAGGTTAATCCGCGCCTCTGTCGAACCGCCTCGATGCTGACGCGCCTGCTGCCGAAGCAGCATGCGAGGTGCGAAAGGTTGCGCGACGGGCTGCCCGGCGCGCGGGGCAAAGTCCCGCTCCCTCAGTTCCCCTTCTTCACCTGGTGCGAACTCGAGGTTCGGTTCAGGCTGGGTTCCCTCTCTGGCATTCTTCTGCAGCAATCAGCTCAGGAGCAAAACGTCATGTGGACCGGAGTCCTCTAGGAACAATCCTCGGATTCCTTCACTCACACGCATACCCTTCAGCTGTGCATTATACTCTGCAACTCCAGAACGTAATTCTCATCTTCAACGAATCAATTTCAATATTCTCAACCAGTCTTTAGTGTGAGGCGGGACTCCAGGATTTCTGTTCGCCAGCGCCTACTGTAGTATTTCTTTCCCGATTTCGACGAGTGAGAAATATTCAGCATGGCAGGACTTCTGGCTAGCCATATCGCTCTCTGTCCCTCGAGCACCGTAAGCTTCGCCTCTTTGCAAACGAGGCGAACTCCCGCGAGAGCAGCATACGCGTAAGCCTCGTAGCATTCCGCTGCTCACGATTGTCTGAAGTGTTACCGTGAGAGCTTTCATTGACAGAAGCATTGGTGGCTTGTGCAGTCATCCGCATGGCGGACGGACTCCTGGTGCACCATCCCCGCTCACTCCGTACTCAGCAAGGTATGTCGAGAGTTCTAATCCTGCTGCTTTTTTTCCTTTCTCTCCCTCAAATTCCGTCCTCTGACAGTGCTCATGGTGTCACCTTGTACAGGATTGAGCAATTGCATTCGACGGCAACGAAGGCAGTTGAAAGCGCGGCCTCTACCGCTATTAACTCTGCTCCCACGTCTGCTGTCGCGTCATCCTCACCCTCGTTGAGTCCCTTCCGGGAAAGGATAAACGATTGGTAAGGAGAGCCTGCTTATAGTTGAACCCGAGCCCTATCTGTCATGATTCCAGATAGCCGTGTAAGGCGGCTTCCTGACCCAAAAACCTCTTGTATCCGCAGGTGGGCTGATCATCTTGTAAGCAAGGCCAATTTCGTGGAAGCTGCTGCTCCATCTCTTTCCTCGGACGACGAAGAGGAATTTCTCATTTTAAAGCCGCCTGTTGAGGTGGATTCTAAGTTCCAGCTCCCCCAGAAGGGGCATCAGGTTAATTATTGAAGCGAGCCAGCTGTAAACGTCTATATGTTGACAGCGGCGGTCGTCAGGTGGCTGCGTTTGTATATAGAGCCCGATGATAAGATGAGTCAATGCGCCTTGCTTGCTGTAAGGTGCAAATATGGTGATTTGTTGATTCTGTTAATTAGGAATTCTGCTCCGTCTCACACCTGAGTTTCTGTAATACAGCTGCAAATGAAGTGTCTGCGTTCTCGGAGAGCCTGTGGGAAGCGAGCTGTAGAACAATATCTTTTAGGATGAATGTGAGAGCAGCATGTTGTCAAACTGTACAACGCCTAAACAAATTGTCTATTGGAACGTTGTACCAGGACCGCTGGGAGAAATGCTGTTACTGGAAGAATGTTACACCATGGCGACTGTCAAATGCGCCTTGTGTTAGACAAAAAGTGGTTTCCTAGTTCACCTTCTTTACTCTAGCTGAACCAAGTGAGGAGAGTTACCCATAAAGAAACTAGGCTCGTCTTAGGTTATAGCAATTCCTTTGGTCTGGTAACAAAACCAGCAGAAACACATGTTAGCCACAAGGCAACCTCCCTGTATGCCATGCTAGTCAGCAACCTCCCTAACAACTACTATGCTAGTCCGCCTTCCTTACTCTGGGTGGGAGGGAACAACACTACGTGGACAATGCGGAGGTGCAACTCCCGTTCCCAGCAGACAGTGGGTTAAGGCATACCCGACAGCCACCAGACCTTTGAGTCAACTCACAGTCACCACTGCTCTAATCCGCCTTCCTTGCTCTGGGAACAACACGGCGTGGCCGACGCGGAGGAGCAACCCCCATCCCCAGTAGCCAGCGAGTCAAGGCATAGGAGGAGATAGCCACCAGACCGCCGAGCGTCCTTGCACACTCTTACAATCCAAATCTCTCTACACGGTGTTCTAGTCTGCCTTCCTTGCTCTGGGAACAACACGGCGTGGCCGACGCGGAGGTGCAACCCCCATCCCCAACAGCCAGCGAGTCAAGGCATAGAAGCTGACAGCCACCAGACCGCCGAGCGATGCCAGCCACACAGGGTGGTATGAGAGATACTGGAGATTGGGAGGGATGAAAGAAGGGAGGGGGGCGGACGAAATTGGTACACAATGAGTGCGAGAGTAAGCAAAGATGGACAGGCACACCCTTGGAGACAACCCCCATTTGGAGCAGCCAGCGAGTAAAGGCATAGAAGGAGACAGCCACCAGACCGCCGAGCGTAGCAAGCCACACAGGGTGGTATGAGAGGTACTGGAGAGTGGGAGGAGGAATGGAAAAAGAGGAAGGCGAGCGGGGAAGGGAGAGGCGAAGGAAAATAGGCATGCAACGAGTTGGATATGATCAGAGTTGGAACGAGAATGCAGACAAAAATATTATCAGAGGCGCTCATCCTCAAATAAACCATAAGGTGACAGCCACCAGACCGCCAAGTGATGCAAGTCACACAGGGTGGTATGAGAGGTACTGGAGGTTAGGAGGGATTGAATGAGGAGAGGGGAAAGACCGGTTTACACGAGCATGAGTTTGGCCAATACAGACAAGCACGCCATTGGGCAGAGAAGCTGACAGCCACAAGACCGCCGAGCGATGCCAGCCACACAGGGTGGTATGAGAGATACCGGAGGTTAGGAGGGATGAAGGAGGAGATGGGGAAAATCGGTACACAGTGAGTGTGAGTGGAAGCGAATACAGACAAGCACGCCATTGGGCAGAGAAGCTGACAGCCACAAGACCGCCAAGCATGCAAGCCACACAGGGTGGTATGAGAGATACCGGACGTTAGAGAATAAATGTGAGTACGAGGGGAGGAGAACGAGGGAAAGATATGTAGAGAATGAGTGTAAGGACGATGGGGGGGGACACTCAGCCTCAAAACACTTTTCATCCTCTTGAGTTGAATTTTGAGTTGACTCAGAAGTCAACACCATTGAGAGCCACTCAGCCTCAAAACAACTTCCCATGCCCTCCCTCATGTACCCTCGTTCTATCCCACACCCTCCCTACCTACCATGCATCCCACGCCCTCCCCACCAAGAATCTCGCCTGCATGAACGCGCGGTGCTGCTCCCATGCCATGCGTGCCGCTCCCATGCCATGTGTGCTGCTCCCACCACTCACCCGCATGGCCTCCCATGCACAGCAGAGGGGTGAATTGACTGCGGGCCATCACTAACCCGCATGAGTCGTGTTATGAGTCGACTCAAAACATGAACGCATGGTACTGCTCCCATGCCATGTGAAGGCCAGGCACAGCAGAGGGGTGACTTGACTCCGGGCCATCACTCACCCGCATGAACGCGTGGTACGTCTCCGACATCCCGCTCCCCCATCCCGCTCCCACATCCCGCTCCCCCATCCCGCTCCCCCATCCCGCTCCCCCATCCCGCTCCCACATCCCGCTCCCCCATCCCGCTCCCACATCCCGCTCCCACATCCCGCTCCCACATCCCGCCAGCAAGTCAAAAAGCCCATCCATGGCTGTCGGTTCCCTCGGTACCTTCTCCTCCCCCACCTCCCTGTACTCCCCCCCACCCCCCCCCCCCCCTTTTCCCCCACCCTCCCCTCCCCTCCCCCACGTCATCCCCCCTGCCCTAGAACGTTCCAATAATCCTAGCCTGAGTGTTTAAGGGAGCCCCAGAAGACGGCTTCCCTGACGCCTCCCCTGGTCCTCTTACCCTAACACTCCCTTAGTCACTCTTTCCCACACCCTCCCTCACTCACAGAAGCCCCTCACAACCCTCCCTCCCAACAAAAGCATCTCACCCGCATGAACGCCTGGTACTGCTCCCACGCCCCGGCCGGCAAGTCAACAATCTCACCCCATACCACTCCCATACCACCCTTCCTTTGCTGTCCCTCCCAAGCGACTCACCCGCATGAACGCCTGGTACTGCTCCCACGCGCTGGCCAACAGTTCAACAATCCCATCCATGGCTGTCGGCTCGCCCGGCACTTTCTCCTCCCCCACCTCCTTGTAGCTCCCCCGCACAAACCGCCGCAACACCGCCGCCAAATCCCCCTCTCCTCCTGCTGCTGCTCCTGCCCCTCCTGCTCCTGCTCCTCCTGCTGCTGCTGCGTACCCCTCCCCCTCAAATTCCTCATCTACTTCTTCTCCTGTGTCATCCAATCCTCCGCCCATCCCATGCCTGCTGATCAGGCTCGGGAGAGAGGCTTGGGGGAAGGAGAACATGGCCCGGTCTCGGAAGAGCTTGAGGACAGGCTCGGAACCGACGCCGAACCTCTTCTTCAGCTTCGGGTTGGCGTCTACATCCACCTGGGATGGACAAAACAAGGGAGAGAATGCGCGAGGGAAAAAATCAGTAAAGGAGGGAAAATTCCCCAGGTGAGCGGCAAGGAAGGGCCTGCCTGCCTGGCAGGCAAATCGTCTGGCTTTTCCACTCTCTCTTCTTCATGAAGCTCTTCTAATTCCTGCTATCCTCTCTCGCACTCTCTCTTCCCTGTAAAGGTTTCCCACCTGAGCGGCAACGAAGAGCCTGCCGCGATGAAGACCGGCAACGAAGAGCCTGCCGCGATGAAGAGCGGCAACGAAGAGCCTGCCGCGATGAAGAGCGGCAATGAAGAGCCTGCCGCGATGAAGAGCGGCAATGAAGAGCCTGCCGCGATGAAGAGCGGCAATGAAGAGCCTGCCGCGATGAAGAGCGGCAATGAAGAGCCTGCCAGGCACATCCTCCGGCTCGTGCTCTCTCTCGTCGCCAAAACGCAACCCCAACTCATTCTATCTATCGCTCACCCTCTCGTCTCAGCGTAGAGTCCCCACAAGCGGCTTCTCTCACACTGCTGTCTTGTCAGAGAAAATGCCTCACCTCGTCCTATCCATCTCTCACTCCCTCGTCTCAACGTGGAGTCCCCACCTGCGCGGCAATGAACAGCCGGCCAGACACGTCGCCGACTCTTTTCTCACAATCTCTCTCTTCCCCAACTCATTTCAACTTCTCCCACTCTCTTTGCAGTAGATCTTCCCCCACCTGAGCGGCAATGAAGAGCCGGCCAGGCACGTCGTCCGCGGCAGAAGCAGCCTCCTTAAGCGACGCAAGGATGCGGTGGCATGGCGACGCGGAGTCAGCAGAGGTCAGGCAGTCTGACGTGGCGAAGAGAACGAACCTAGGGGGACATCGCGACGAACGGGCAGGACGGAAAACGGAGGGAGGCGGAAGGGGGTGCGGAAAAAAAAAAAAAAAAAGAATTGAATGTTGGAAACTCTTTCTGTGATCGCAACGTGGCTGCAAGCTTATCGCCATAGTGTTTACCACGCAACTTACCATCGGCCCGTGGTCTGCCCCGACGATGCCTGTGTATCGTGCTCGAAGGACGCGTCTGTGAGCGCGCGCACGCGGTACGGACGGAAATCGGAGGCCGCGGCGACGCTGATCAACGCAAGGAGCGAGATGAGCGAGAGGAAAACGCCCGCGGGAGACGCGATGCGACGGGGGAGCGCCGTGAATGGCGCAGTGCATCTAGACGTCGCCATGTGTGCGACGCGGAACGGTGCACGGTGTTAAAAGCCTTATGGTGAGGTATTGGATAATGGAGGTACGGGAATGCAGAGGCAACGGCCAAGTTAATGGCGGAACAGAATCAAAGCGATTCACGGAATAGAAGCAAGGAACAGGCGAAAAAGAAGAGAAGCGACGTACTTCAGTAGAGCAGAAATGATGGGATGGGAAGTGGGAAGAAAAATCTATGGCGGCTGCCGCGTGCCCTGCGATTTTCCCGCTTCTTGGGGAAGATTTCATCAAGGTGTTGGCATTTCAGTAGCGGCACGCATGTACTCGTCAGTGAGCAAATTCAAATCGAGGTACGTTTTTTATAAGACTACCTAAATCTAGGTTCTAAGTCTTTTGTGTAGCATCTTTGTTATTTTGCCAACCATGAGACTTTCTGTGGCTCCCGCCGTTCCGGCCCCACCTTCCAGAATTCCAGCATGTTCTTTCGGAAGAAACGTGTTGCTTGCATCAGATGAGTGCACGGCCCAAACAAACCTTTCGCCACGTCACTCCCGCCACGTGCTCTCCTCAGCTTTGGGGGACCACTGGCACACGCAACCTTCAACAAAAACCCCTTTCTTTCGCTAGTGTAACATGTCCTTGCTGGAAATGCGTTTCGCCATAAATATTTGTCCTTATTGCGAGATGAGCGAACATCGTTCGTTCTCGCGAACTCGGCAGAAGAGCCCAGTGTAGACTCCCAGTATGTGGCAGTACAAAGCTTCCATACCATGCCAACTTCGCCATAGCACGCTCGCTACGCCCGCTTAATCTCTAGAACCACACCAGGATCAAACAGGCTGCGTGGTTTACGGGATTAGATGCGTCGCGTGCTGTGCGTTCCGCACTGCAGGCCACGGATTGGCTTTCTCTTTGCTCTCATTCGCTGTGAGCTCCGTCAATTGATGAGGCAGTAGGATTGGCGTACGCACGTACGTGTCCCTGGCGCGGAGCGAGTACACTAAGCCTCCCGCGCTGCCTCTCGCACGCGTCTGATTCCGCGTGTCTGCTCTGTCATCCGCTCGCTCACGTGCACGACATTTTGACCTTTCTTGATTCAACATTTCTCCGCCGTAGGATCGTTGGCATCAAGGGTTCAGAGGATTTCACCAACAGTTTCACCGGACTGCCATCATGATCCCCACCGCCGCCTCCTCCACTAATACCACCGCATCTCCCGCCGCCTTTTCCGCACCCGCTGCCACCGTCGCGTCACCGCCAGTCACGGTTCGTAACAGATCACCTGCCGCATCGACAACTGTTCATTCAAGCTCGTGTTTGGCACCGGTGGCGACAGGACACGTGGCCACGCCTGGCGACGTCGCAGGCTGCGCGTGCGACGTCGCACGGAACGACGAAATTGCCGGTGCGCGGGCCGTGCCGATGCCAGTGCCGGGATCTAGCTGCGTAAGTAGCTCAAACGGTGCTGCCGCGGCGGCTGACGTCAGCAGATTAAACCCCGACGGTTCAGCGGTGCAATTGTCGACTGCGGCAGGCATTCCAGTTGCTTCGACAGGGGGGCCGGCTGTAGTGGCCTCTGCGACCCGCGTCGAAGCGGGTGCAGGGGGTGCAACGAAGCCCGAGGGCGATCTGGGGTTACGGGAGAAAGCTTTGGCGGCGGGTGCCGCAGCTGTGGTGTCGGCCGTTATTATGAACCCGCTGGACGTCGTTAAGGTACGCTGGTAGTGTAGCTATGCTGTTGCTGGTAGCGGAGCATCCATAAAGTAAATCGGTTTTGTTTTTTATTCAGATAATTCTCATGTCTATCGTCTTTCTCGTCCTCTTTGCCTCGCTCTTCGCCTCCCCCCTCCCCCTCCCATTCTCAACGCCCATGCAAACCACATTCCCCCCTTGCGCCACTCCCCCGCCCGTCCTCCCCCCTCCCCTGCTTCATTAGACGCGGCTGCAGGCGCAAACAGCGTCCGCATCTCCCCGCGCCCCCGCCCGCCCGTTGCCACTCGCTTCCACCTCCCCCGCCGCAATCACATGTCGTGCGCTCTACCCCTCCCTCGCCGCTACAGTCACATCCGCAGCTCCGTCAGGCTCAGCCGCCGCTGCCGCTACAGCCGCTTCTGCAGCCACTGCTGCTACAGTGTCCGCTGCTGCTACAGTCTCTTCTGCTACATCCACCGCCGCTACAGCCGCTGCTGCTCCAGCCTCTGCTGCTACAGCCTCTGCCTGCTGCCGCCCCACCAAGTTCTGCTCGCGCCATCCAGCCTTCCATTCGGCTGTAGCCGCTACAGCCGCCTCCGCCCCCTCCCCCGCCGCCTTCTGCTCCCTCCACCGCGCCCTCTTCCCATCTGCCGTTTTTCCGGCTGTAGCGTTCCCGGCTGTAGCCGCTACAGGCGCTTCCGCCCCCGCTGCCGCGGCCGCCGTTCTGGCCCGGGGCGGGCATATGCACGGCCCTGGGGATTTACGGCGGGCGGCAATGTCTGTCTGTTGTGACGTGGCGGGATTGTACGGGCATGTGCATGGCGGAGTGGCTGCCGGTAGTGGAAGTACCCACGGCAATGGGTTCACACACGGGCATGGGCATGGGCATGGGAGCATTCATGCAAATGTAACCCATCTGCTGCCGAACCAGCACCAGCAGCCGTATCAGCATCACCAGCCCCACCACCATCTCCCCCAACACAACCACCACCCATACCGCAACACATGGGACGTGTTCTCTCGGATAGTGCGAGAGGAAGGGGCTTTGCGCTTGTGGCGTGGCACGGGCGCCTCTCTCCTCATGGCTGTACCAACGGTTGGGATCTATCTCCCTGTGTACGATATCCTCAAGATCGAGCTCGCAGCGATGCCGATCAACGGCCAGGATCGCGCTGTGCCGGAGGCGTATGTGCCGTTGATCGCAGGGTCGGTGGCGCGTGCACTGGCTTGTGTCAGCTGCGCGCCATTGGAGCTTGCAAGGACTCGCATGCAGGCACAGAGACCAGTGGTGGGGGCAGGGTTGGGGGCAGTGGGGGTGGTAGGATCACCAGTGGCAGCAGCAGCAGCAGCAGCAGCAGCAGCAGCAGCAGCAGCAGCAGGAGCAGGAGGAGGGGCAGGAGCAGGAGCCGCAGGAAGCTTGGGTGGGGGAGGGGTAGTGGGTGGGTCAAGGCCTGGCACGCTAGCGACGCTGCGGACGATTCTGCAGCCGCATTCAGGCACTCAAGGGCTGCGCGCGCTGTGGACAGGTGTTGACGCGCAATTGGCCCGTGACGTGCCGTTCTCAGCCATCTGCTGGGGTCTATTGGAGCCCACCCGGCGTTACCTGCTCAGTAGATCTGCTGACCGGTGGGAGCAGAAACAGCGGGACAGGCAGGAGTGGGTTCAGGGTGGTGCTGGTGCTGGTGCTGGTACTGGTGGTGGTGCTGGTGCTGGTGCTGGTGGTGGTGCTGGTGCTGGTGCTGGTACTGGCAGTGAGGTGTATTCTCATTCGCTTATTGAGGCTGCGGAGGAGGCTCAGCAGCTGCCGCTGCTGCAGGTGGTGGGGGCGAATTTCGCGGCAGGGATGGTGGCGGGGAGTGTAGCAGCAGCAGTGACTCACCCTCTGGATGTGGCCAAGACGAGGAGGCAGATTCAAGTAACAGGAACTCAGCTGAACACTGCTCAGACGCTGCAGCATCTCTGGAGGTGAGAAGGGGTGTGGTAGGGTTGTGGTAGGGTTGTGGTAGGGCTGTGGTAGGGCTGGGTTGGGCTGTGTGCGGTGTGGGTGCGCTGGAGCGTGGCAGCAGCAGCGACTCACCCGCTGGATGTGGCTAAGACGAGGAGGCAGATCCAGGTGTCGGGTGCTCAGCTCAACACTGCAGCATCTGTGGAGGTGAGCAGCGGAGGAGGGGGGGTGGGAGGGAGGAATAATGTCCCAGAAGTTTGTTGTCTGATTTTCTGTTTGTGTGTTTTTTTGCCGCACGGTATAACTGGTGTATCCATGCCTCGTGTGTTTGTGTTGCCAATGCAGGGAGGGAGGGATGAAATCATTATTTGCCGGGGCTGGTCCTAGAGTGTTGAGAGCTGGCCCATCATGTGGAATTGTGGTCACTTTTTACGAGGTGGTGAAGCACCTGCTCAATTAAAAAAACGCTGTGACTACTGTCGCCCCATTTTTGCTGTAAACACGTTCTTGTTGAGAAGGATGGACCTTTCCTTCGTTCTAAATCATGATTCTCGCAGTTATTTCCGTATTCTCCCGGATAAAATACCCTAGGGTATTATGAAAACCACTGGAAAAAAATGGGGGGGGTCTCCTCAAAGGAAAATCCTACATAATACCCGGGTCTTGTTATATGGTATATTTTTTATAAAGCAAAAAAGTTGTGAAACAAAATAAGGGGTCTGACTTGCCCATCACGTGGAATTGTGGTCACTTTTTACGAGGTGGTGAAGCACCTGCTCGATTAAAAAAACGCTGTGACTACTGTCGCCCCATTTTTGCTGTAAACACGTTCTTGTTGAGAAGGATGGACCTTTCCTTCGTTCTAAATCATGATTCTCGCAGTTATTTCCGTATTCTCCCGGATAAAATACCCTAGGGTATTATGAAAACCACTCGAAAAAAATGGGGGGGGGTCTCCTCAAAGGAAAATCCTACATAATAGCCGGGTCTTATTATATGGTAGTATATTTTTTGCAAAGCAAAAAAGTTGTGAAACAAAATAAGGGGTCTGACTTCACTTCAAGATTGCTGATCAATGCCGCAAAACCGAGTACGAGGATATTGTGTGGGCCACTTGGGCGACTTCACCTCTTGGACCACTTGTAGTGGAAGATTCGCCAGCGTGGCGACAACGAGATTGTGGGAGGGGGGATATCTCGGCTGATTCTAAGTGAAAGTTCATGCAAAATTTCTTCCAGGGAGTGATTCTCGCGATATCCTCCCGTAAGGAATCAGACTCGATAACAGCTATATTAGGAATCTATAAGAAAAGGGGGGTGTTATAGAGAATAACCCCAAAAGGGGGGGTATAGTACTAACGGGGTCGGATATAACACCCACCCCGTATAAGCTACCCGGGGGTGTACAATTACGGCAGGTGTTTTATCCGGGAGAATACGGGTTACTGTGTTCTTCAACGCCTGGAGTATGGTATGCTGATCGGGTTGCTTTCTTTACCGCAAACATTTTGCTTTGTTGGAGCTCTTGCTGGCAACAATTGCGCAATGTGCTAAATATTCCCGCCTCCAATTTTTTTTGCCGACGCGCTTGGTTTCTCCGTTATTGAAACAAACCAGGCGGAACGCGCCGACCAGAGTATTGACGGCTGGGCATACTTCATTGACGGTCATCTTATTACTTGACGGCGCCTTTTTTTTTTTTGCACAGATTCCTAGTATGTGCTGGGGTGGGTGGGAGCAGGGGCGGAAGTTGTTTCGTGCGAGCGAACCGCTTCAACCAAAACGCATTCTTCCCCGCTCGAACCGCATCCTGAATTGCAATTTGCCAATGTTCGACGATACCATCATCGAGAATTGCATAAATTCGTTCTGTTGTTGTTGGTTCCTCACCTCATCATTCCCTAGCAAATAGATAGTCCCGCATTCGCTCCCCTTCAGTCGCCCCTTGGTTTCTACTCTTACGCTTTCTCGTTTACCACCGTTCCACGCAGAAATACGATTTTTCGAGCGCCGTGAATTGACTCGAAATCCTCCCGCATCGATTCCGCCAAAATCCGGCGACCCTAAACCTCTAATAATGGCAACCCGAGTGTCGTTCGTCGTTGTTCTGCTGGTGGTAGCTGTCGTTGGATTTTCTCGCCCAGCCTCGGCGGCTGTGAAACCGTACTGCCGCTTCTCCGGGAAACTCGTGGTGAAAAATCTCGTGACTGGGCTCACGAAGGCTGGGAACTATTCCACCTTAGTCTCCGCGCTCAAGAAAACAGGTGAGAAGAGCGGTGGCGGAAAGAGTCTCTGAGAGTTCGAAGCTGGTAGCTACCCTTTTCGCCTTAGCCGCCTCGCCTATAGATATCCTTGTATTCTGGGACGCAGAGGTGGCGGCCGCAAATTCAGTTTGGCGTTTGTAGATTTGATTCAGCTGCTGCAAATTTTGTTTGGCGGCTGCAGATTTATTGTGGCGGTTGTAGATTCGATTCGGCGGCTTAACATCTCGTCCCGCACTTTCGCGCCTCTCGAGTTTCGCCGATCTCAAACCAACCGTACCGCAGATTGTGCAGTGTCTCACCCTCTCCCCTGCCACCCTCTCCCTGTCACACCCTGTCACACGACCTTCCAGGTCTATCCAAGGATCTTAAGGGCCTCACTAACTGCTACGAGGCGACGTTCTTCGCGCCCAACGACGACGCCGCCTCTGCCTCTCACTTCCCCATGCTCTCCCTGTATTTCAAACCTTGCAGGTCTTTCCAAGGACCTCAAGGACCTCATCAACTGCTGCGAGGCGACGTTCTTCGCGCCCAGCGACGACGCGTTCGTTCCTCACTGCCATAATCTTCTCCTACTCATCTCGCTCTTCTGTATGTTTCCCTTCCTAATTGCACTCCGTTCAGGTCTTAACAAGGACCTGAAGGACCTAATCAACTGCTACGAGGCGACGTTCTTCGCGCCGAACGACGACGCGTTCGCGGCGCTCCCGGACCACGCGAAGAACGCGACTTCGAATGCCAAGGTTCTGCGCGAGGTGCTGCTGCTGCACGTGGTGCAGAAGAAAATGCCTGCCGCCGCGCTCAAGGCCCTCCCTCAGGACAAGCAGGTGAGGAACGGTAATTTGAAGCGGTGTTGTGGTGTTGGAATTGGTCATGTGGTGTTTGAAGTGGTGCTGCGCGTGGCGCTCCCGGACGACGCGAAAAACGCGACTTTGGATGCTGCGCGAGGAGCTGCTGCTGCACGTGGTGCAGAAAGAAAAGAACGCCGCTGCGCTCAAGGCGCCGCCGCAGGACAAGCAGGTGATGCATCGTAGTTTCACTATATGGTGGGCGGGCTGGGCTCAAGCGGCCCAATTGCGGCGCGTTTTACATTTTTCTTCCATTCGCAGGCATCATGAGGCAGTGATATACTTCCACCGCACCGATGCTCGGAAACAACTCGACCCGTTCTTTCCGCTCTGAACACGCCCAATGTCATGATGGTATTGATGTCCTTCCACCGCACCCAATCCCTCGCAACCTTGTGTTTTTTCCTCCTCACACCCTGTGCAGTTCAAGGCGGCATCCGACGGGTGCAAGGCTCGCCTGGTGAAGGTCTCAGCTGCCGGCGCCGACCCGGTCCAGCTGCAGGCCCTGTACGTCCCGGAGGAAGCTTCCGTAGTGGCTCCTGACGTCATCTCGCTGCGAGTGATGCAGGTGCACGGGGTGGACACGGTAATTCTGCCCCAGAGCCTGAAGGCGGGCGATAAGGACTCCCTCAAGCCCACCGTGTGCTTCCCCTGGCGCGCGTAGGAGGAGTGAAGGCTCTCCGGGGGACGTGATGCAGGTGCACGGGGTGGATACGGTCATCCTGCCCCAGACCCTGAAGGCGGGTGACAAGGACTCCCTCAAGCCCACCGTCTGCTTCCCCTGGCGCGCGTAGGCTAGTGTCCCTGTCTCTCGCCAGGTGGGGTGATGCACCTTATAAGTGATGCACCCTAGTAGTGATGCATCTTGAACACTTTCAGGTCGACGCAAATGCCACAACCTATCTACTTTGGCCCTTCTCAGACCAACTGGCAGCAAAGTAGATAGGTTGTGGCAGTATGGGCGGCGCACTGCTGAATCGACTTGACATTTCCGGGCAGGCGGAGGTGAAAACTGTCCTGCCGATGCACCTGGATGGATGGGTGGGTGGGTGGGATTCAGGGTAGCTTTGAGCTCCAGTCTGACTGACTTGAGTGCGGGGGCAGCATCGTCTTAATACTGATATGTGTGGATAGCAGGCAGGAGTAGCCGGGGTGGTTCTAGGACTTGATGTGCTTGCGGTGCTATTGGTAGGTGAGAAATGCTTGCCTTTGTACCGCACTCCCCATTCATAATGTAATGCATGATACACTCGTATTTATACCTAATATTGACTCGACGATTCTGTATTTACAAGGCTGTTCTTGAACGGGGCCAAAGCCACATCCCACTCCAATCTGGTCTGCAGCTTTGTCGACACTGAACTGAATTTGTATGCGTGAAGCATAGGTGAAGCATCCTGTGTGCGCTTGTGATGACCTTCAAGAGTTCACTGGCAGCTGCAGACAGCAGCAGGCAGGCCGCAGGTGCAACCATGGAGAGTTCACTGACAGCAGCAGGCAGGCCGCAGGTGCAAGGCCCATCTGGTGCAGGCCAGCCAGCGCACTGAATGGGGGAAGGGACAGCATCGTCCTGCCTAGGAGGCTGCATACCGGTACATACCAGCATCGTCTGGTGCAAGGCCCGTCTGGTGCAAGGCCTGTCTGGTGATGGCCAGTGCAGAGGGTGGAGGGAGGGACTGGCAGCGTCCTGCTTGCCTTATGAGGATGCATTCCGTAGGTCAATAACCCCATCTTGCTGTTTGGACTAGGGTGCAACTTCTCACGTTGTGGTTAGTCATTGAAGTATACCAAATGAACGATAAACAGTGTACAGCTTATTATGAACAGCACCTAGAGCCCTTAGGCTAAAACCAAATGGCAAAACATAAGGTAAGTCTAGCCCCACTCCTACAGTTGCAAACAGTATGGGTGGGGAAAAATAGTTTCAAGCACCTTCCAGCCATACCATATCCAATCACGATGCACCTTGCGGTGGATGCAGCACGGATAAACTGCACTCTCCAAGCCAGTCGCACTCGCAAGCCAGCCAACGTTACCAGATTTTTCAAAGGAAAGCGGGGATCATAGTGAAGGGAGCGTCAGCGAGTGCAAAGTCAAGGTCGCACGCGACCCCCTCCTCCATTTTAAACTGCTCCCCTTCCACGTCCTCATAGCTCCCACACGCATCCACTCCGTTGACCCCGTTGACTGCGTTGACTGCTACTTCGAAAGCAGCAGGTGAGCCCGCGCCGCCCTCTGCCATCTCGGTCCGCTTCGCGAATCGCCCTTTCACGCGCGGGCGGCTCTCCGCGTACGCCTTCCGCGACGCGTAGCGGATCGTCTTCTCGAACCGCCGCGCCTTGCGCTTCTCCCTGTACCGCATCACGCGAGCCTCGCGCGCAAGCGGGTGGAGAGGGCCGGGGCTTGAGAACGTCGACGGGGAGAAGGGGGAAGCGGAGGGGAGCGACGACGACGCGGAGGGGAGGGACGAGGAGGCGCGCAGAACGACGGGGCTTTCCGCTGCGGGGTGACCCGCGCGGGATGACGACGTGGCACTGGCGTCGAACGCGGCGGCGGTTGCGGCGGAGTCGGCGGCCTGCCTGCTGCTAGGAACGAGGTGCGTGTCGGTTTGAGAGGAGACGGAGAAGGACGGGGAGGAGTAGAGGGAAGGGGAGCATTCCCGCCGGCCAGCCACTGCCGAAGCGCCTTCGTCTTGGGATTGCACTGGCACCACCATGCTCTCTTTCACCGTTTTCTTTGCCGCCGCCGAAAGGGCCGCATATTGCGTGGGCGGTTTCGCCGAGGCAAGTTTCCCGTCGACGGGCGTCGCGCTGCGGTCGCCGCCGCCGTACTGCTCGAGGTCGAGGAACGGATCCACGTCAAACAGGAGATCTGAAACGTCAGCGGACTCCGTTTTGGGATATTTAGTAGCCGGAGGTTGCGCAACGTGTGTCGGACGGTGGAGGAGGGGAAGCGTCGAGGGGACATGCGGGGAGGCCGGATAATGCGGCGGCATGTGCGGCGACATGTGCGGTGGCATGTGGAGCGGCATTTGCGGCTGCATGTGCGGCGGGAGGTGCGCGTAGGGGAAGTAAGGCGACGGTACCATGGGCCGCGGAGGAACAGAGCCAGCCATTTGCATATGCTGCGCCATATACGGCGCCATATACGGCGGCATGTGCGGCGGCATGTGCGGCGGGAGCATTCGCGGTGCAGCAGAAGCGGCTGAGTGGTGAGGGTAGAGGTGGGAGTGGAGGGGGTAGAGCCAATTAGCGTTTCGACCACCCGCCTCCGTGTTCGGCCTCTCCTCTTCCTCTTCCTCCTCTTCCTCTTCCTCTACCTCCTCCTCCAGTCCTCTCCTTGAGACGGCCGCGTTTGCCGCCGTTGGTTGCGGCAGCGCTTGTCCTTGACTCGAAATGAGCTCCTCGTGCTCCTCAGAAGGCGACGCGAACTCTGCGGCGTCATTTGCGCCAAGGAACGCGGCGGGCTGTACGCAGGCCGGTTTACAGCTTTTGATCGACGAAGGGCACTCGTAGAACGGGACGACGGGAACGCGCTCGTGGCGATTCGCGAGTGGGTTCGCCTCGTGAATGTCGGCGTCGCACGTCGCACAAAGAGCCGCAGCGTCGGCTTTGCAGGTTACCGCGGCCGGCGACATTTCGCAAACTTCGCAGACCCACACTCGCTCGTGGCGAGAGGCGAGCTTGTTCGCGCCATGCACCTTGCCGTCGCACGCTAGACAGAGATACGCCGAGTCGGCTCTGCAGAAGATTAAAGCCGCGCTCAATTGACACGCTTCGCACGGCTTCGGCATGGTTGCTGCGCGCCACAGGCGAGGTGAAACGCTATTGCGAGGAAAGAAACTAGCCTATGCGTTACTATGATAGTCAGTTGGATAAGCGGTTATCGGTCACGTGAATAAAGCCGTTGTGAGGGTGGCTGACAAACAACTGAGGAACTATGATAGAAATCGACTGGTTAATGGCATGAGAGTGATACTTGTAAGCGGGAAGAGTTGGTTGGTGAACGATGATGGAAAGAACAGAGGAACGAGCTGGCGGTTCAGTGAGTTCTCTGGGCCGGGTTGGGCGAGGCGACGTGGAGGGGTAGGCTGTGCGGCTAGCCATGCTTTGAACGAGACAGTGAGATTGGGTACACAGAGTCCAGCCAGCTCGCTTCCAATGGTAACCGTTCAATGGAATCGCATACGGCCGAGGTACCGCCACAGGTTACAGGATAGAACGCGGGGTGATGAGAGATAAGATGGGATTGACGATAGGGTGAGATAGAATGGGGCAGGAACGAGTGTGGCATATTGTGTGGAAGGGAGAGGTCGCCCAAAGGTCCGTGGAGTTATCAACGGGCGAATGGGAATCGACTTTTAGCAGCTTTGAGTTGATGGTGGCCGCACAAGTCGATGATATCAACGGGCGAATGAGAATCGACTTTTAGCTCAGCGTCAACTGATTTTTTTAATCCAGGACTGAACTACACACCATCAGTTCCACCTTCACTATTGAACCGTATCGGGAGCATACCTTCACGTCGCGTGAACAACGCCTGGACAATTTTCAGGGCACTCGTGAACCGACTCCTGGTGTACCCAGGACAGGACATTGAAGCCATGCGGGTGAGAGGCGCGGTGGAACGTTGGCAGCCACAAAGCGAAAATCGGATCGTTCAGTGGCGGTGGATATCTGGGCAGGCTGCTGCAGCCCAGAACCGAACCGCGGAAGAATGCTTTTATGTCGGACGGAGTCTCTCATAGTGTATCGACGGCAGAGAGCATGGCAGACGAGCTTCCTGAGGTGGAATTAGTGGTGGGGGCAGGTCGAATCTTGTGCTCCAAGAATAGACATTTCGATGGCCTCAAGCTTTCGAGGCGCAAAAGGTCCTTGCTGCATGCTGGTGATCGAATCCACATTCCAGCCACAAATTTCACAAGAAAGTTGTTCATTTTGTTTGGTAGTGAATTTATTATCTAAAGTGAATGGTCAGGGGTGGCTGTGACCTCGAATGCATCCAGTCCACTCATTTACAGGAGGCATGCCCAGGTCACGTACGGTCGACCAATACGGTTGAACGTGAGACCAGCAGTGAACGGCTGATAAAAGACATCTGCACGCCTGGAAAAGCAGCATGCAGTTTCATCGTTAACTTTAAAACATTTCGGGGCATCTTGATCTGAGGTCTTGATTGCAAACAAAAACCCAGCAGGAACAACAAACGATTGCGCAAACTCATTCTCGTGTACACTTGCACCAATCGGCCAAAATTCCACATTTGCTGGGCACGCACAAGAGTTTTCTACATTGACGGTGAGACTGGACTCCAAGATACTTGGAGCTAGCACCCGTCGTCGAAGGTGGTGTGACACGGCAAAGAAGTGTCTGCCTCAACATGAAGGCGCTGTTCTGTTGGAGTTCTCATCGCCGCACCGTTGGAGGGTTGGTAAATTTCGTACACGTTGAGGTGTAAACTTCTCGATTGAACAGCTCAGCCAACTCGGGTCTGCCCTTTTGAACACGGTCTGGTGAAATGAGAACCTAGGGTAACCTGATAAGGATTTCTTGATCAGCCTGAGATATGAGTATCGAGCAGCAAGAACGTGAGAAGATTTTCTTGAAATTTGATCGCGGTCAAGTGTTGGGCGTTCAAGCCTACCACGAGCAAAAAATTGGGCTG